CCCAGTTGTGATCTTGTCATACATTTGATTCTTGTACCTTTGTCCTTGACATTGATGTATATGCCATGGCCAAGGTTGTATCAGTCACTATCCTAGACATTTAAGAATAAATCTAGTCAATTCCCAAAGCCTTTCTTCTTTTGAATTTGAATTTGCAATTAGCTCAGGTGATGTTTTTATTTGCCTTTTTGGTTCTTTTCAGCAAGTTTTAAAAATCACTAAGCTCTACAGACTTGAACGGCCTGTCATTTCCCACCCCCAGAGTCTAGAGTGGTGCCACCGCAGATGTTTGCTAAATGACAATTTGTGGCTAAATATTTACTTAAAACTTATGTGGATTTTTAAATTCGGTACTGAAGTTTTAAATAGCATTTCACTTTAAAATTGTGTTCTCTAAGAAAAAGTCAGACATTGTACTTTTAAAGAAGATATTTGATTATACATAATCTCTTCCTCCTCTGCTTTTGCTTTCATATGCAAATAAATAAATAATACAAAGTTTATTCTTTATTTATCTTACAATTCTTGAAATTCTGTATGCCCCAGAATCTTTCTCTAAAGCTAATGTTGAAATTATTAAACACATTAGACTGAAAAATCAGATTTTCTTTTTATCTTGATGAAAACTTGGTATTTACTATATTTTAGTTCTGATAGTGATATAAAAGTAGCCATTCTGAACAGAGAAATGAAAAACAAAGGGCTAATACTTTTCAACAATAAAGATATTTTAAAAAGAAAGAAAGAAAAGCAAAGGGCTGGCAATAATCGATTCAGGTTCGATCAATCAATAGGTAACTAGACAGTTTATACAATTAGACAATCTTGGTTGGAACAAACTCATGGTATCTCTTATTGTTCAACCAGCAAACAACTCAGCTAGTCGAGTACTAATATACAAGCAGGTGCTGGTTACTGTTTAATCTTGTCTTCACTGTATTTTGGTAAGCTTATATGTACCTTGGTGGGAGAGGAAGCATAGATGTTTAGTTTGTATTTTACCAAAGAAATGCTTTAAAAAACCCCCACAAGATTTGGTGATGTTTTGAGTACATGTCATATTGATTTTTGTAGCCATGCCCCATGAAGAAAAGATAACCTTTTTCCTTTAGTGACCACTGTGTGATATGTTATTAGGAACTTAGTTGGCTTACTAGGATTAGAGGAAACAAAACTATGAAGAACTCTCTATGGCAGTGGTTCTCAACCTTCTGGCCCTTTAAATACAGTTCCTCATGTTGTGACCTAACCATAAAATTATTTTCATTGCTACTTCATAACTGTAATGTTGCTGTTATGAATCATAATGTAAATATCTGATATGCAGGATGGTCTTAGGCGACCCCTGTGAATAGGTCGTTCAACCACCAAAGGGGTCACGACCCACAGGTTGAGAACCGCTGCTCTATGGAATAGTCATAAAGGTTGAAATAATTGCCAATGAGGTATTTGGAGTTTCTTTTAAAAATTGTAAAAGTTTTGATATGCCTATCCTATCTAATAAAGACATAATATGCAAATTGACCATCACTTCACAACAAAGTTGGCAGCGGCTGGCTCAGAGCGAGGGCGGGAGGTGGTGGCCAGAACGAAGGCCTGGGTCCTGGGTGCCGGAGGGAAACCGGTGCCGGCAGCCAGGGGAAGGAAGGCCTATTCTTGCACAAATCTTCATGCATCAGGCCTCTAGTGTTATTATAAAGGAACAAATTTAAATAATTTAAAATTAAAGCTTTATGTGCAAAGTATTATCTTGCTTATATTAATAACTAGAGGCCCGGTGCACAAAAATTTGTGCACTCGGGGGGGGCGGGGGGTCCCTCAGCCCGGCCTGTGCCCTCTCGCAGTCTGGGACCCCTCGGGAGATAACTACCTGCTGGCTTAGGCCTGCTCCCGGGTGGCAGAGGGCAGGCCAAATCCCTAGGTGCAGCCCCTGGTCGGGCTCAGAGCAGGGCTGATTGGGGAGTTGGGCGCCGCCCCCTGTCATGCACAGAGCAGGGCGGATCGGGAGGTTGTGATGCCACCCTCAGTCACGCTCAGGGTAGGGCCGATTGGGGGGTTGGGGCACCGCTCCCTGTCACACTCAAGGCAGGGTCGGTGGGGAGGTTGCGGCACCACCCCCTGTCACACATAGAGCAGGGCCAATCAGGGGGTTGGGGCGCTTCCCCCTGTCACTCACAGAGCAGGGCCCATCAGGGGGTTGGGGAGCTCCCCCCTGTCACTCACAGAGTAGGGCCGATAGGGGAGTTGGGGCACCGCCCCCTGTCACACACAGAGCAGGGTGGATCAGGGGATTGGGGTGCTGCCCTCTATTACCCACAGAGCAGGGCCGATCAAGGGGTTGGGGCACCGCCATTGTCACACTCAGGGCAAGGTCGATGGGGAGGTTATGGCTCTACCCCATCACACACAGAGCAGGGCCCGTGGGGGGGGAGGGGGGATTGGGGCACCACCCTCTATCACCCACAGAGCAGGGCCGATCAGGGGGTTGGGGCGCCTTCCCCTGTCACACACACAGCCGCAGGGTGATCAGGGGGTTGGGGAGCTCCCCCCTATCAGGCACAGAGCAGGGCTGATCAGGGGGTTGGGGCGCCTTCCCCTGTCACGAACAAGCAGGGCGGATAGGGAGGTTGTGGCCCCGCCCCCTGTAACACACAGAGCTGCAGGGCGATCAGGGGGTTGGGGAGCTCCCCCATATCAGGCACAGAGCAGGGCCAATCAGGGGGCTGGGGCGCTGCCCACTGTCACACACAGAGCAGGGCCCGTGTTGGGGGGGGGGGTGTTGGGGCGCCGCACCCTGTCACACACAGAGCCGCAGGGTGATCAGGGGTTTGGGGAGCTCCTCCCTATCAGGCACAGAGCAGGGCTGATCAGGGGGTTGGGGCACCTTCCTCTGTCATAAACAGAGCAGGGCGGATAGGGAGGTTGTGGCCCCGCCCCCTGTCACACACAGAGCCGCAGGGTGATCAGGGGGTTTGGGCGCTGCCCCCTGTCATGCTGATCCCGGTGCCAGGAGGCCTCGCGGCTCCGCTGATCCTGGTGCTGGGAGGCATATTACCCTTTTACTATATAGGATAGAGGTCTGGTGCACCGGTGGGGGCTGGTTGGTTTGCCCTGAAGGGTGTCCTGGATCAGGGTGGGGGTCCCCACTGGGGTGCCTGGCCAGCCTGGGTGAGGGGATGATGGCTGTTTGCAGCTGGTCACACACCCTTCAGGGTGGGGGTGCCCCCTGGGGTGCCTGGCCAGTCTGGGTGAAGGGCTGAGGGCTGTTTTCAGGCTGGCGGGTGACTGAAGCTCCCAACTGCTCCTTTTTTTCTTTTCTTTTTTTTATTCTGGGCCAGCTTTAGCTCTGGCTCCAGCTCTGAGGCCTCTGCTGCTGAAAGCAGGTATCTGGTTTGTTTGTGTTCTCTAATCGAAACACTGTATCAACTCCAGCTCTGAGATCCAGGCTCGCTGAAAGCAGGTTTCTGGAGTTTTGTTTAGCTTCTATATTTGTAACAATGTTTCAAACTGCAAGCTCAGAGGCCAGCAAGGCAGGCAGGGAACGTTGGTTTCCTCCATCACTGAAGCAAGCAAGCCTCATGTTAGTTTCAAGCTGCCTGGCTGCCGGCCACCATCTTGGCTCGCAGTTAATTTGCATATCACCCTGATTAGCCAATGGGAAGGGTAGCAGAGGTACAGCTAATTACCATGTTTCTCTTTTGTTAGATAGGATAATACAAATATGAAGCAATCTAACTCTCCAAAACGGAAAATTTATTTAAATAATCTATGTCAAGAGTTTTATTAGGGGCTTTACACACATTGTCATTTAATTTCTAGAATAAATGTACAAGCTAAGTTGGTCAGCACTGCTTCATGATGAAGAAGTTAAATACCTAGTGGTTAAGTGATTTTTCTGAGGTCATATCACTGATAAACTACTGAGTCAAGATCACAGTGATCTTTACCCTAAACCACTGAGCAGATGACACAGCCAAGAATGGAGGCTATGAAGAGACTTAAAAAGTAGCAGCATGAAGCCCAGTGTGGATCAGTTTGTTGGGCATCCTTCTGTGCACCAGGAGGTTGCTGGTTCGATTCCCAGTCAAAGGCACATGCCCAAAGTTGTGAGCTCAATCTCCAGTAGGGGATATGCAGGAAGCAGCCAATCAATGTTGCACTCTCACATCAATGTTTCTCTCTCTCTTTCCATTCCCCTTCCTCTCTCGAAAATAAATAAACTATTCTTTTAAAAAAAGTAGCAAATGAAAATATGCCAATGATAAGTTAAAAAGTTATATATATAATTTCCATATATTACAGTTACAACTTAGATAAAATGTGTTTAAATAAAAGATTAGAGAATAATATTATAAAGATTTTTTTCTCTTTTTAAAAACATCTTTATTGAGGTATAATTCATACACCATGCAATTTATCTATTTAAAGTGTACAATTCAGTGGTTTTTAGTATATTCACAGGTATATGCAACCATCACCATAATAAATTTTAAAACATTTCATCACCCTCAAAGGACCTTGAACCCTTTAGTTGTTGACCCCACTTCCCCCAACACGCCCAGCCCTAGGCAATCACTAATCTATTTTGTGTCTCTATTATACATTTTCCTATTCTGGACATTTCACATAAGTGGAAATCATATAATATCACCTTTGTGACTGGTTTCTTTCCTTTAGTGTGATATTTTCAAGTGCATCCATATTGTGGCATGAATCGTCACTTTATGTTTGAATAATATCTCATTGTTTAGATATACCAATATTATAAAGATTTTGTGTGCTTGTATTAGATTGGTGGAATTTGTGGTGGTGTATTTTTTTATTTTCTGTAATATCTTTAGTTGTGGATAAGTTACTTTTAAATTAAAGGGTTATCAAAATAGAGTATAGTGTCAGTTTAGTTCAACAATCAGAGTATCTAAAAATCTTAATTTTTTTATATACTTCTGAAAGATTGCATGGTCATTTGAGCTTGTGTTAATTTTATGTTTAAATTCCAGATCATCAAGTTATTGGATGGAAAACGATCTCAAACTGTGGGAATCTTGATATCTAGTTTGCATTTAGAAATGAAAGATATCCAGCAGGGTAAGTCTTCTCTACCATTTTTCCCCAAAACTTTAATTTTTTTCAGCATTTTATTGTGAAAGATTTCAAACATATACAAAATTAGGATGCCACAGTGAATCCCATGTGCCCACTGCTCAACTACAAAACAATCAGTTTACTCTTATTTCACCTGAAACACCCTTTCTCCACCAACTATGAAGCAAAACTCAGACATAATTCATCTGTTAAAAATGTTAGTACATGGCTAAAAGATAAGGACACTTTTCAAGCATAACTCCAGTGCCATTATCATGTACTTGAAAACATTTACAGTGATTTCTCAAGATCATCAAATATGTAGTAGTTCTAATTTCCCTGATTGTCTGTATACTCACTGATTCATCCTTTTGTTTATAGTTAGTTTGATTGAGGATCCAAACAAATTTTATGCATTGCCTTTGATGTGTCTCTCAGGTTTCTTTTAATCTAAAAGTTTCTACTATTCATCTTTTTTTTGCCTTTTGTAATTAATATTTTGATGAAACCATGTCACTTTGTCCTGTGGAGTTTCCCAGAAGATTTGCTGATTGTATTACCATGTTTTTATTATGTTCTTCTGTCCCCTGTGGTTCCTCTAGAGCAGGGGTGGGCAAACTTTTTGACTCGAGGGCCACAATGGGTTCTTAAACTGGACCGAAGGGCCGGAACAAAAGCATGGATGGAGTGTTTGTGTGAACTAATATAAATTCAAAGTAAACATCATTACATAAAAGGGTACGGTCTTTTTTTTTTTTTAGTTTTATTCATTTCAAACGGGCCGGATCCGGCCCATGGGCCGTAGTTTGCCCATGGCTGCTCTAGAGACTTAACCTGAGTGGGGGGAAGATATGTTATATATACTATTGAATATTCTGTCAAGAAGTACATCATATCTGGTCGTCTCTTTATGATGTTAGTGAGCACTAATGATCTTTACCTAGATTCATTATTTTATTAGAAGTTTTCAAAATAATAATATACAAATTCCATCATTTCTTCATTACTTGGGACATTATTCTGGAGAAACACTTTTTCTATTTTTCTTTCTTTGTCTTTCTTTTTTTTAAATACAAGGTATTAGGGTGACATTAGTTAATAGGGCCATATAGTTTTCAAGTCTACATCCCTATGATACACAATCTGTATATTGCATTGTGTTTCCACCACCCAAAGTCAAATAATCTTCTGTCACCATATATTTGGTTCCCTTCACCCTTTACCATGCCCTCCCCTTCCCTATGTTAACCATCATACTGTTGTCTGTGTCTGAGTTTCAGTTTTATATCCCACATATGAGTGAAATCATATGGTTCTTAGCTTTTTCTGACTTATTTTGCTTAAGATAATATTCTCAAGGACCTTGAAACTTTTTGATTCATCTACTTGTTCTGTTATTGTTTCTTAATCCCTTCTTTTTTTCAAATGACACTATTTCAATTTGGTTGTCTTTGGCTCAGTTTGAAATGAGACATTTAAAGAGGAAATTTTACCTGTATATATTGTTCTTAGAAAAGTTGACCAAAAGCGATTTTGCTTTTTAAAATCTTCGTCTTGCATTAAAATAATACTCCCGTTTCTCAGTAATCAATTAAATGTAAATCTTTTTGTTGTTGTTATTGTTGCTGTTGCTGTTGTTAATCCTCACCCAAGGATATTTTTTCCATTTCTTTGTAGAGAGAGGAAAGGAGGGATGGAGAGGGAGAGGGAAAGAAGAGACAGAGAGAGATCAGTGAGAAAGAGAGAGACTTGGTTGTTTCCAACAGGTGCCCGACCAGGGCCAGGAATCAAACCTGAGACCCTTTGGTGTGTAGGCTGGCACTAACCATTCAGGTACACCAGCCAGGGCTATAAATCATTATTTTAACATGTCACTGACAGTACTTTCTGAGTAGTAATACAGTCTCTTGTAGATACTTTCAGTAGAATTTAGCATGAGTTTAACGGTGGAGACACTCTCAAACCACACTACCCAGGTTTCAGTCTGTGTTGCCTCAAAGTTATTTTGCTTTGGTAGCCAGCAGAAGACTCCCATAGGTCTTGAACTAAAAAATACTTATGATACTTTCACACACTACTATTCCTCTCAAAAGAGCTTTGTTAAGGTCTTAACATTTGCTTTATTGCAAACATTAAAAATTCCACATAAAACTAAAAAGTTTTCAGAGTATTCAAATAAGCTGTCTAAGTTCAGCCAATATGGCTCAGTAGTTGAGGTCGACCTATGAACCATGTGGTCAGGGTTCGATTCCCAGTTGGGGTACATGGCTGGGTTGCGGGCTCAATCCCCAGTGTGGGGCATGCAGGAGGCAGCCAATCAATGATTCTCTCATCACTGATGTTTCTGTCTCTCTCTCCCTCTTCCTTCCTCTCTAAAATCAATAAAAATATATTCAAATAAGCTGTCTATTTTTAGTATTTAAGCTTAAGAGTAGAACTAAATACATAACTATGAATATTAAACATGCAAAGATGTTGCAGTAATTGATTTGAATTAGAGGCTGAGGATGGCTTAAAAAATGTCAGCCATCAGAATTAGAAAGGAATTCTTTAGTAACTTTTTAGGTATTAGGTCTTCTAGAAGAACTGAGTTTTGGGTAAATTCATACCAGGAAATTATGATGCTAGGACAAAGGAAAAATGAAAAAATAAAACAAAACAGAAAACTATCAGCAGGGAAGTGTGTAGTCTTATGTCCAGAATCCTAACATTTTTGATGTGGTCATTGAAATTAGAAAACGGTCCTTTCATGTTCAGTGGCAGAGTCTTGTCCTAAACAACAGCATTCTTCAGAAGCCTGGTGAAGCCAAGCATGCGTGGTTTCACCACCAGGGTGCAAAGCACTACGGATATGAGCTTTCACACTGGCAATAGCACCTTAGCCTGTATTCAGTTCTTTCTCAGCATGTCCTGCTATAGGACAGCAGATTGCCATGTGGGTAAGATTCACTCCAGCCACGTGGTAGTCCAGTCACCAACTCAGGACCATAAGCCTTGTGGATTGAATGCCCATTGTGAGTCATGTAAAGAGACCTTTCCAGTATTCTACTCCGGACAAGAATATGCTTATGAGAAGCATAAGGGAACTAACATTTGAACATTAGAAACGTCATTTGTAGCACTGCATACTTCTGGGACGCGTGGGCGCCATTTTCCTTTCCTCCTGCTCCAGGAACCTCCGAAATCCACCACAGAGTTGGCTCCTAAGCTCCATTTCATGTCTTCATTTAGTAATGCACTCCAGATGAATACGGCACTATAACCTGAGCTTAATTTTTCTTTAGAGTCATTTGACTGACACTGGCATCTGAAGGTCACTTAGGAGCCGGGCTATGTCAGTTACATTTCATTCTGAGTCCATGTCTGGTCGTGAATGGAATGCACTTGGCCTTGTGTTGTCATCCTGATGAAAGGACTCCCTGTGCTGACATTGGCCTAAAACATTTGTTTTAATGTGGGGTGTGTGGCTGCAGTGAGATCTGATTGGGGCAGGCCCGTTGGCAGCCAGGCAAGGTCGCACAGCACGACAACCGTGGTGAAATGACCACAGTTCAGAGACTGTTCTTCAGCCTCCTGGTCATGTATTCATCTTTCTACTGCACAAATGCACTAACTTTCACTTTTCAAACTCGTAAGGCGCCAAGGTATAAACCACACAGCCAGTGTGTTCACTTAGAGCAGTGGTTCTCAACCTTCTGGCCCTTTAAATACAGTTCCTCATGTTGTGACCCAACCATAAAATTATTTTCGTTGCTACTTCATAACTGTAATGTTGCTACTGTTATGAATCGTAATGTAAATATCTGATATGCAGGATGGTCTTAGGCGACCCCTGTGAAAAGGTCGTTCAACCGCCAAAGGGGTCGCGACCCACAGGTTGAGAACCGCTGACTTAGAGCATTTTCCTTTGTCGTGATGAAAATATTTATCATATCTGTTCATCATCACCTCCATGTCAGTTGTCTCCTCTTGGCATTATATATTGTTTATGCCTTCTTCCCCTTTGCTGAGATTACAGGTTGGTCACCTAGATAATAGGTTGGGGTATTTCAGTCCACAGTTACCTCCCATAGATGGGTGATCCAGTTTTTACTGATTCAAGTCTTAAAAAGAAACCTTGTTCTCGTTTGTAGGATGGGCTTTTCTCCATTGTCCACTAGATGCTGGCTGTAGTGTGTACTCAAGAAGTGAAATTTGGGGCTCTATACCTCAAAGTCTTAAAGCTGCAAGTAGAGAGCTAGTGTCTCTTCCATTATGTCATGTTCCATTTTTTGCTAAGAATTTCTCTGCTAATTAAGCATCATTTACAACTAATTGGGCTAATATATCATATGTAAAAGTCAGTCAATAAATGTTTTTTTTAATTTAATTTAAAAAAAGAAACTGAACCTTAGATGGAGTCTGAATGTTGTGTATTCCATTAGTGCATTTGGACAAAACTTCCTTTCTTCCCTCCTTCCCTCTTTCCCTCCCTCCCTCCCTCCCTCCCTCTTTCTCTCAGTAAACATGTTTTGAAGCCAGCTCTGTATCAGGTACCATGATGACCAAAATACAAGGTTCAGACTCTAAGATTCTCAGGAGTTCACAGGATGGAGAGAGAGATGTAAAAAGCAGCCCAAGATTACAATAGAGTTGCCCATGAAATAACAAAGCAATGTCTTATCTCCTCCTACAAAACTTCAGATGAGTCTTAGAGGGTGACACGATGGTCATCACACACAGAAGGAGCCTGTCCAATGGAAAGGAGGCATGTGTAAAGGACGCCCAGCTTGAGTGTGTGACTGTTTCAGGGCACAGGGCTAGAAAGGCATCGCATCCAGCACTGAGGCTCTGAGTCTCAACACACAGAAGTTGGACATTATCCCATCAGTAACAGGGAGACAGCATTGAAGATGGGCAGTGCGGTGGTCTGACTTTGAGTGCAGAAATACCTTTCAGGCTGGGGAAGACCACAGAGCGCATCACTACTGCAGCTGCCTGTGCTTGCTTCCCTCTCACTGCCC